GTTTTCGAAGTAATTTTTTCCACATTTCCAAGCGTTTTCTTCGCTCTTATTAGTCGCAGCTGTTTTATAATCAATAAGCCTTTCTCGAGAAATGCTCTAACCAACACAAAAATAACTTTAATTCGAACCAGTAGTTACTTAAAGCGCGTGCAAATACACAAACATAGAAAGTCCTTAGCTTTCTATATTAATATAGCCTTTAGCCGTTTACCCAAAGATACTATTTATAACTATTTATAAAGATATTATTTATAACTAAGATACATCTTAATCTTAGTTATAAATATTCCCTTTACCTGTTAATTAGCTTACGTAATATTTTTTTCTATTTTCGCTTCAATTATCACTACACTATATTCAATGAGTAACTTATATTGTTTTTGCACAATGTCGAAACGGGGTCCCAAAATTTTCCAATTCCGTCCAATGCGAGGTTTTAGAATGTTGCTAGATGACACTGTAGGTATGTACCTAATTTTCGTCTTTGGTAATCTGTTCGCTACCTTGTCGCCGTTTATGTTTTGTTATATGCCTTATACTCTATCTATGAAACATTTGAGACCTCTGTAAGAATAAGTTTCTTCAAACTTCATACTCCTTTTTTAAATCTACGTAGGAATTATAAGTTGTTACCTTTTTGAATATTTATCTTCGTAAAGGAGTCGATTAAATAGTGAGAACAATAAAAATAATTCAACGTCGAAGTAACGACTGTAGATTAATGTGTGTATGTTGTATTTGGCGTGGGCAGAACATCGTTGTAAATGCATGTGTTTCTGATAAATTATTGTTTATACAGATAAGGATTCAAGGGCGTTCGGAGGTATGCTAAAGTTCAGATTGCTTATCCCTTAAGACGAAGTGTAAATACTTATGTTCACACAAACTTTAGAATCCTGTTGAAGCCTTTTTTATGATTTGCTTTGTGGTTAATAAATTCCATTTTAAGTAGTACATAATAAATAAGCAATGAAAACTCTATGACTTGCTCTTTGTTCAAAGCTTGCTATAGGATATACCTGCAGGTCTTACATACAATATTTTGCCTTTTCTTTTAATTTTAATCGTCTAGTAAACTTTTCATTTTTGCTTCTGAGTCTGTAATTTCTCGTAACAGTATTACCATCACTTTATATGAGGCCGCTAGCGCCAGAGTAGCCAACTGCAATTTTGTGACTTGACTTATTTTAAATTTTATAGCCGAAAAATAATAATTTCCAAGAGCACAGTGACCAAAAATTGTTAACCATAATTCTCACACAAATAACCCTTCTCGCCTAAGATATTTGCCATTTTTATTGCCTTATCGAAAATCATATTTTTTTTTATTAGGTCACTCTGGCTCTAGAACCCTTATATTTAGTGTCTGTGGTGATTTCAATCTAATTCGAAGCACGTAATTCCATTTTCGAAAACCTGAAACAGAAAAAAGCAAGTTAAGTCTGTGAGCGTACGAGGTAGGCAGGAAGTTTACAGCACGTGCGCTGTACACAGGATGTTTTAGAATTCGCTTTAGCTAACCTGGCTTGAGCCATAGCGCAACTTAATTGAGTTCGCGGTCCAGCTATTTCAGGATCGATTGTAAACGTATAAGATAAACATTAAATTCGCCAAGTACTGAGAATTACCATGAAGATTATGTATTCGAATTTGATATTAATTGCGGGGCGTTTGCGGTTTGCGGTAGAGCAATGATATCTTCTTGGTGTTATAAATAAAATGATCGGATAGTATTTATTAGCTTCAGGGACTTTTATTTTTAGTTATAATGATTAAATCACGTACTCATCAATATTTAAAAAAAAACTAAATTGAGTAAAAAGGTTGATGGCGTGGTTTTGTAGGATTATTGGTGTAAGAATGCTTTCAAGAACAACTATTAGTAACAATTAAAGCTAAAACTAAATAAACCTTTAATCATAGTTATAAAATCCTTTTAAGAACCAGAAATTAATAAATGGCCTAAAATAAAGATATTTTGTTGTAAGTTGCGCTTTTAAAATTTATTATCAAATAAAGCTACAAGTTATTGTTACCTTGGCTAGTAAATTATTCTAATCGCGTTGTTTAGAGATTCGGAAACAAACACCCTTTAGGAGGAACACGAAAAGCTTCAGTTATGTTCATATAAAAACAGCCGCAACGCCATCTGGCGTGATGTGTCGGAACACGGCGACTTTGTTATATAATTGTTTATTTTACTTACACCGATGTTCTGCCTTGTTCAATAAAAACTTATAATACTAGTTCATAAAAAAATGTCTGAGGGTTAATCTAATTTTTACCGATGAGAATTTTCAATAGACAAAATTCGTGTTCTATTTAAATATATATAGTTACATATATAGGTTTTATGGTTTCAAATCTTTATGTATGTATGTTATCCATATATTGTGGATGTCAATATCAAACATAAGCATGTGGGCTAAATCCTATTTCAAGAAGTAATACAAGATGATAAGCTTTTGAAACCATTTTAAAATTGTTGAATTCTGTTTATATGTTAGTAGATTCTATTTGTTTATTCTTGAAGTTAGCGAACAGTTTGTAATGCTAACAAATTATTGATTCACTTCGTTTTTCATGAGTTCTTGATAAGTTGGTTTTTTATACAAGAGCACAAAGATATATTACACGAAGTATTTTACATGGAATGTATACTTGAATTAATTTCTCCTTCGTTGCGCCGTTCATGTACCTACTTAGCACACAATCAATCCAAATCTAGAAGAATTTAATATAAAACCAATAAAGAATCCTTCCCGCTCTTGTACTCAATTATTTACTCGTCACTTATTTATACCACAGATTATAAAACACGGCACCAAAATAAATCAACTGAAAACAGATCGTTGAAAGTTCTATTTTCATTCGAGGGTAACAAAACAATAAAAAAGTAATCTAACCCTCAAATATATTTAAATATAGTGCAGGTTAACCCTTCACCACTATGATGACTGTGATATATGATTCTATGGCACGTGAGAGATACATTTTAACAGTTTACTCTATGGTCTTTATATAAAAACTATTTTTAATAACACGAGTCGTAAACTTGGCTATTTAGGTAGACCTATATACCAGTTTTAGTGTTGATTCTATGTAAATATTTTATTAATATTATAAACATTTTATTGAGAATTTGTTATGGTATGTAAATTATGATTGTTATTTTATGTTTTAAAAAAGATAAGGAGCCGCGCGTTATACAACTTAGTCCAATTGTTAAATACATTGCCTTGTATTATAGAATCGAAGCAAAGAATTGAAACAGCCCCATGCTCAACACAGGCGAAACGGGACTAAACAAATCACACATATACATTTAAGGTGTTTGTTGTTATGAATTTACTAATATAAATAAAATACTTGTAATGGTTTTAAACGCGAAACGTACCTATCGACTAAAAAAAAGAACCTCTGCTTCAAAGTATTCGAAACGTTGAGCCGTAGTTTTATTAATATATTTCGCGTTTTAAACCGTTATGTATTATACAGTTAAAATCTTTTTTATTGTAATATTATACTGTAATATGCGTATCGTCTCCAATCTAACTTGTAACTAACTTTCATAATAAAAGAATGTCTAATTCTATCATATATAAATAACATATGGCGTGATTCACCCAAACAAAACACAAACATTATCAACCCCTGCATGTCACTGATTCAAGCGCCACGTTTTATATACGCTGTTTATTTTAATGTTTAATTTAATACGGTGCCAACGAACTCGCTTCAGTTGGGATTGAATTACTAAAATTATCCGAATGCAGAAAATGCATTAAAAATTTCCCCACAACATCACGTACCTATCTGCTCCATTTCTACTGGTGCACGGAAATTAGTACTCTAATCGCTGGGGTTTGGGGCGGAAGTTAAGTAATATTGCTGTCCCATCCAGAATTGTTTATGGGTCACCATTAAATATAAAGACATTTTTTATCATTCCCAAGAGTATTCATTTTTTTACGAATGATTTTGTACAGTTCTTAAATTATGTCGTTTTAACTGTAAACTTAACTATGCAGCTCTCATTTTTCGTCCACGGTTTTTATAAAATTGACAAAAACGGTTCTAGTCCACAGATATACCTAAAAAAACTACTGCTTTAAGTATATCTGTGGATGTTCTAGAATATTATATACATATAATATATATAGTACAAAATAAAGTCTTTTCTGTCCCTATGTGAGCTTAAAGGAACCCGAGCGAAGGCGGGGCAGGTTGCTAGTTATTAATAAATATGTTAATGGCAGATAGATCATGAGTAGCGGCATAGACGATACATTGATTTTTACTAATTTAAACCGTTTAGTAACTAAAGGAATTTTATAGTGTCGCCATGCTTGTCTGGCCATAAATCTTAAAATTATATCAAACACGATGCATTATCACCTGGTTTGGCATCTCAGAGAGTCAGTAAACATCGATAACTCGGTGCAGCAATAAATGGAATGCATTTTGACGGTTATTACGTTTCACGCACCCCGTGCATCAGCGCTTGCTGCAATTTCGTTACGTTTCGAGTTTTATTGCTTGGTTAAGTAGGTCTATTTTTGGATGTGCTCCAGATGGTCGTTTACTATGTTGCGAAATGCTGTCAAAATAAGTTATGAACTATGCACTGCTAATTTTATAACTGTGGAGCAGCTACGGAAAGACCAGCACCGGAGATTAACACAAATATTAAATAATAACACTTCATTTTGTAGAAGTTTTAGGTAAAAATTATAATAAATTATCAATTGATTTCTCTACGTCTACCAACCGTACTACTTACCCTTTTAACATTACTTTTTTACTAATATAGTCTATAAATGTTTTAAGAGCTGTAGTAATTTTTAATCTGTGCACTAACAACCTGACAGTGTAGGAATTCACTCCAAAATAGCTTACAAAGCGAGAATGCGAAAGGACAAAAAGGATTCAAATAGATTGTTTCATTGTTTCAGAGGCTAATGGATCCCAACAAGACGAGTTGAGCTTCTAAGTGAAACATGAAGCGCGCCGCCATTGCGTTTTGGCGCGAAATGCCAATCGCTGTCACTTTTGCCTTTATGGTGTTGGCATGCGCTGTTTCAGCCAGGGATATTGTGTTGGGTGAGTTTTTAAATAATAATACCTTTTTTCATATTACTAAGCGTGTTGACATATTATTTATTATGAAGCATTTTCTTGATTATTTAAAGGATAAGGTTTCTTAAGTATCACCCTTCTAATGTTAAAAAGGTATAGATATTTTTGATTTACCACTAAAATAGTCACAATTATTAAATTATAAAAAGCGCACCAGCGCTGTCTAACAGACAAACATTAGAGCTTTGCTGAAAATCAGTCTTAAAGGTAACTGTGCTGCAACTTATGCTGACGAAAGTCCCTTGTGGCATCACTTTTCTTTCAATTAAATGTTTTTATATTAATTAAATAATTTATTTATGTATTCATATCCAACGTTGTACTAAATTAATTCCAAATAAAGTAATGTATTATTATTATTACAACTAAAGCAATCCTAAATCACAGCAATATTTCTGATGCTATAACAGACCAACAGAAAAATGGTTTAAACTTTTTTATTTTATTTTCTAAAGCAACCAAATAAAAACTTAATATAAATAGTTATGTTCATGTTAATACATGACGTAATTTCTAAACGGATATCGTTGTCGATGCAAAGACAGACGTCGTGGATGACTTAGGAAGTGCCTAATAACAAAGATCCTGTCGCGAATTTAAAAAATAACGTGTAAAACCGAAAACCAACCTAACAATGGGCTAAACGTCTACGGAATATTTATTTAGAAATTAATAAATTAAATATTCCATTAACATCCTTTTTACCAGAGACGACAAAAAATTGTAGAACTAAGTTTGAATTTCAATGCCACGTATGTAGTGTTGTGAAATCCCCCTCGCTGGACTCGGGGCGAACACATTTTTGTGTCCGTTTCACAGATCCGATAACAGGCAAGTTGATCAGACTTCTGTGCCCTGCCCGACCGAAACAATTTTTTATTTTCCTAGGATTCGAAACCCAGCACCATTTCTTTGGCTACAGAGGCGGTCAAATGTCCTGCATACTAATTTAAATCCATTTTTGAATGACTTTTGGCGTCGAGTTAAGGTTCGTATCGAATTGCATAATTATATTTATGTTAATACGATTATTATGCAAAATGTAACTTTTTTTAATGCGGTTACTGTAAATAGAGTTTTATGACTGAATCGTGACGGTATAAATAAATTACTACATTGTTAGAATTATATTAGTGTCTTATAAGTGAGCTTTAACAACGACATACAAAACAAAAATAATCAAACCTTTATCCCGTGGATAATTAGTGTGAGACGTTGAATTAAGAAAATGAGACCTGGTTGCTAATTTTAGAGAAAAATCATTAATTTAGTCATAGTTTTTATTATTATTATTCACGTGTAAATAAGAATCGTTCATTTAAATAAAACATTTTAACGGTTTAAAACGCGAAATATATGATATTAGTGAAACGTACTATATAAAGTATTCCCGCCCCGCGACCACGCGTGCTGCAATGCATCGGAAGTGTCGGGCCGTAGTTAAAATAATTTTCAAAAGCGTTTAACTAATATATATCGCGTTTTAAACCATTAACGTGTTTCATTTAACTGTGTACTACTAAAACTGCAGATAGTATTTAAGAATCGTTCAGTTTAACAGACAGTCTGTAAAACGAAATTTACCTATTTTTAATGCATTTTACTAGCCGGATGTCTATGGATTTTATTATGACGATAATATAGAAATCATCTGCCTCTCTAAATTACCATCTTTAAAATAATGACCATAGACAATAATGACCATAAACAAAAATCTCAGCAGCGGAAAAAGTAATCACTTCACGGATACAAATCGATTGTCGTCAACTTCACCCTCTCATTTGGTCCTCATTAAGGCCCGGATGCATAGACAATTATTTTGATGACCAGTTTAAGTTGACCTATGCTTTCCTTTAAGCGCATCTAACGTCCCCACTACGCACAAAGGGTGGGGATCATCTCTGATTGGGCATCACCGGACGTCATATGTAATTCTCTTTTGATAGACCAATGGCCGTCGTTTATGTTAATTTCCTTGACGTAACTGCTAGATATTAAAATATATTGCATTTAAATACCGCCTTCTCTAGGTATGGTGAATCTGATGTTTACTAGCTTCTACTTTTGGCTTCTCTCGTTTTTATACACTTGCCTAACAGTGCGGTGACTACCAAATTTAATGCAAGTTATGTCTGATTTGCTATATCAATCTGATTTCTTTATTGATCAGAAATTCTTCATTGATATAATAGGTTACAAACAATTTGTTGAGCCATTTGCAGTAACTGCATTTTATAATAAAAATAGTTGACTATCTACGTAATCCTGTTTTAGCTAGAAAAACTGTCCGGCGGACAAGGTACTTTAGGTACATTTTAGGATCCCATACTTTTGAAACATACCAAATAAAAATGTAGCTGTTTGTAATTGTAACTGGCACTTTTAACAAACTTAACTCGACATTATCGGTTTAAGTGTATATTAAGTTCCCCTAATTAAATAAATGACTAGGATAAACTTGAAATATCTGTATTTAGCGCGCCCCTACACGTTGTGTGGTATAAAATGTATTTTAATTTTATTGCTCAATACTGTCACTTTTACGAGAGCTGCACAAATAGTCCCTATCAACTCGGTAAACATTTGCATAGATGACTTTCTGCATGTGTTTGTTTGTACGGCACGACATCCTAAACAAATAGGCGATAAAATGTGATTATAAGTTTTTGCGAAATTGTAAACAAAATTGTGCATTAAAGATAATAATTATAAGAATTGATAGTAAAAGTTATTTATAGATCTATTCGTATCACAAAAGACAAGAAGTGGATCAAGAGTGATTTACTGTCAACTTACAATTTTTTTAAAAATAAAATATGAAATATTGCAATGGTTACGATATTTCATGTGTCTTTATATTCAAAATTAAATTTATTGACTATCAGATATAAAATAATGTAACCTTAAATTAAATATTTACTTGATTATTATGCTTGACACGACTTTACTCAGAAATTTTTTAAATTAAAAATTTCATTTAATACATAATGGTTCAAAGTGCGAATTATGTTAGTTAAGTTCTTTTTAAATGTACCTACGCCCTGACGTTTCGCCTGACCGTTAAGTGTTTTATTTAAATGTGTACTACTCTCGTAAACTACAGAGAATGCATGAAATGTTTAATTGAAAGTTACAATCTGTGCCAACGACTTCGTTCGCGTAGAATTTGGGGCATCAAAATTTGTGTTTGCAAACCTTCTTATCTTTATCAATTATAGCTATTACCCACGACGTCGATCGATCCCGTCGTTCTTGGAATTAATCTCTAAAATAGACACAAACTGTCCTTGACAAGCGCACGCAACGAAAAGCCAATAAGATGACTATTTTTTCTCGTTTTTTCTACACACTAGCATATAAAGTAATATAATTATACGAACACAACCTAGATGTAGGTGTGTACCGTGTACTCTTGGGCCATCACGATCTCTTTATTGCACATGCAAAATACGTACAGATTCCTGATATGATGTATTCTGTTAGGATGCGACGTCCGTGGCTGGAGCCTCGTAAAGAACACCGACTTCCGTCGATACCAACCATTGCTATTCAATCGTCAGGGCTATGTAAATCCGATGTCTTCATTAGAAGTCATTTCTAATTCATACGATGTGTACTTTACTTGTTTCAGTATTTCGAACCTAATAAATATTGCGTTTTAGTAATGTTTGTGTAGACAGACATATTTTTATGTTCTCTTTGGTAATTAGGTACTGTACAAATATGTACCGAATAAATTATGATTGTCTCAGTTTGGATCCCATACCACACGTGCTTATCCTCTCTCAGCATCAGTATTTTATTCAGTAGTAGTATTTAGTAATTATTTGATCCACAATAATAAAACCTTAACAGAAAATGGATATTTAGTACATTAGAAGTTTTAATATACATGTTCGGAAGTTTTTGTTAAACAGCACGAAAGATATTTAAAAGTAGTTTGCACAAAGTACACATGCATTTTATTACAATCTTATACTACTTTTAACGATTTAAAACGCGAAACATTTTAGTTATTTTTAATGTAGTTTACATCCCCCGTGATCATGGCCGTTGCAACGCTAACGAAACGTCGGGCCGTAGTTAAAATAAGTTAAAAATTATATAGTTCGCGTTTTCAACGGTTTAAAGTTTTTTTATTTTAATGTAATACTAATTGAAATCTTTCCTTTGGGGTAGGGACAATTTAATAATACTTGTCCACGTTTGTTAAATGCCGACGTGCGTGAAATAAACGTCAAAGTTTTACAACCGATCCTTTGGCACTCAATTAGCCTACCGCAGCCATTCCGCGAAACACCCTATTAAAGAGTTATACGGCAACTTGACATCAATAAAATGAAACAAATTCTGCCACCAAGTAGGTATTCAGTAGCAGGGTTGAAGCGGAGTTAGGAGGTCGTTAAATTTTTATAGTTGGAAGAAAAATAAATAGTTTCCCGACGCTCAATCTAAGAGTTATACAATAAAATGTTTATGACTCTAAGAAAATAGACTGAAGAGACGCCCACTGTTACTTTTATTTGTATCGCAATCCAATCCAAGAGACTGAACATCCTAAATACTACGCAGGTGTCGGTCTGTGCATGCTTTGAGAACATTTGGTATACTTTGTTTAATATCTATAATCTCCTTGAAGACTCTACATATATTTTTTGACACAAAAGCATAGAGTGGCGACAAAAAAAGATCCGTTATCCACCTCTGTTAGCTTTGGACATTCTGCAATTTATTTAACGACAAATCCATCTATGAATTCGGATATTTGATATCTAAATTTGCAAGATGAATTCTAACATGTTTTAAACATTTTTTATTTATTTTAGATAGACTCGGTGTGAATCAAACGAATCATTAACTACACATTGCTTATCAATGAAACCATGAGTCTCCATATGTGTTATATACAAACGGTGTGATTTTGCTTTTTACATAACCAACTTTATCACAACATTGTATCGTGA